AATTTTGATGCCCAAATATAATAAAACATCGAGTGTCCCGAACAGTCAGGAGCATCCACCAAGACCATTTTTTAACAATTCCAGTATGAATACATGCCTATTATTATTCGTTTTTTTTTTCCAGAACAATAAAGGAGCAGAACACACTGCAGCATGAACTGCTCACACTAGACAATGTAATCAAGTCTGAAACCGGTTTAAGTTTTTCACTTGGGTCGGACACGGCTCTCGTATTCAGTTCTTCCCATGAAAACAATCGTTTCTCGCTGAAATTAGATTTCTGTCAAGCTGCCGCGCCAAGAAATAACGGTGCCTGACTGTCCCAATGTGGGAGCTGCCCGCTGCGCCTTGAGTCACCCACCTCGGGACTTCAAATAAAGTTTCGCATTCATCCATGATGCACTGTTGTCTAAGACTCATCTTGGTTTCATTAGACCTGTTCTCCAATTGTATTACGTGTCCTACTGGATTGTGTCTTCGGCGTGTACTACAGCGCTACTTTATTTTTATCATGAGTTATTTCGCAACCGCCCTGTTGCGGCCTTCGGCCAACGGGGTTGATATATAAATCAAGATTAATTAATAAAGATAGGAAGCCGTTTGGCCGTTCTGTGTATTTTATTACCCGCCATCCACGTGCATTCCGGCACTCTTCCAACGCCTCCTCTAGAAAGATGCCTGCAGCATGAGAAAAAAAAAACAGCTGCCACACCCTTTCCCTCCTTCATTTTGAAAATGTTCTCGTCGCTAGCGTGACCTGTGGCAGATGGTGCAGCAACGCAACACTTTGCATAGCCTCCGAAACAGTGGTGCACATTTGCAAGTCTCGAACAACTCTCGACTGACGCGCCCCTATGGGCCGCAGATGAAAAACGCTTAGCTGGTACCGCCCGTCACCGTGATGATAGTGTCGGTCGCGAGCGCCACCGCGCAGAGGTCGTTTAAAACTGAAGGCAGGCCAGCTCCGCTGGGAGCGCGAGCCATTCCTCAGGCATCTTTCTAGAGGAGGCGTTGATTCTTCTTTCCGATACACTATATTACCGCGCACTCGTCCACCCGGTCGTTATGGAGCGGAAACACGCTGCCGTGCGTGATAACGGGCTTTGTGTAAGCTCAAAGCGTTACTTTGTCTATCACTTCTTGCATACATGTCATATTTCTACTCGCCAGCGCCAAGAAAATCAGTTCGGCCCGTGGAACATTCCGCTGCATTCCCCGTATCGGCCAGTGAGCCTCGTCAAGGCGTACTGTTCCATTGTTTAACAGCTGCTTGCGCCATCGAGGAAACGAGAGCAGGCACTGATTTAGTCTTTTTCCACTTGCAACACGTAGAATAGACATCTGTACTTTCGAATTCGCTACCGGGCAGTATTCGTTCACTACCAATAAAAAGCTTCATTCTTGCCGCTAATAACCACTTCGAGCATATGCAAGTTTTTTGTTGTAATATGCAAAGTAATGTATTCTTACGTATAGCTCTAATCTATTCGAGTAGTATTTTTGTCTTTTCTTCGCGCTGGTGCATTCATGATGTATTACTTATTCACTCCTGCTAAAGCCCTTCACTAGGGCTGCAGTATATTGAAATAAATTAATTAATTTAATAGGGAGGGGCAAGCGCTGTTACTATAGTAACGCAATGCGGTTTCCGGTTGCCTAAACTGCTACTGTTACACGTTCATGTTTAAAGAAGAAGCTGTTTAAGCGCACGTAGACTGAGATCAGAAGAGCTAAGAAATAGACAGGACAGAGCTGAACTCACAACTTAATTTTCATTGAACAGGGTAACATGTAGAAAGCACTGCAGAACCGACAATACATGCGCAATCGAACAAGAGGCCTAACAGTTTTTAGAACCGGGACAAGGGCAACAGCATGGTGAAACTAATAACCTTCACTTATCAAGGAGCACAAACCTGGAGGATTACAAAGAGGGTTCAACTTCAGTCGAGGATGACGCAGCGAGTGATGAAAAGGAAAATGATAGGTGTCACCTTAAGAGACAAGAAGAGAGCAGAGTGGGTCAAGGAACAAAGCAGAATAAAGGATATATATAGTTGAAGTGGGTATGGGTATGGGAAGGGCACGTAACATGAAGGCAAGATAACTGCTGGTTATTAAGAATCACAAAACGAATTCCAAAAAAAAAAGGGCAAGCAGGTGAAGGGGAGACAAAAGGTTAGGCAGGCAGACGATATTAGGAAGTTTGCAGTTTGCGGATGTAATGTGGCTGCAGCAAGCTCAGGACCGACTTGCCTGGCAGAACATAAGAGAAACCTTTGTCTTGCAGTGGACGTAATCATGCTGATGATGATGAGGATCAAGAAGAAATTCACACTTCTTATCCTCTAAAGTTATGGATGGCTGGCTGGCCCATGGCCACAATTTCACACTGATTGTTTTGCTTAAACAATATCTGTTTTATGCAACGCAGGATAACAACCACATTTCGTATTAGAGAAAGGGGCCTTAACTGTGGTAGTCAGCCATCCATCACTTTACACGATAAGCAGTACGGCTTTGTTGACAAATGAAGATTGTTAGTTTTAGTGTGCTATTATTTTTGTCCTGGTTCTGATAGTATTTAGGCCTCTTGTTCGACTGCGCATGTGCAGGCGATTCTGCGGTTCTTTTTAAGTGTTATTCTATTCGATAAAGATTCAGTAAAGTTAGGCGCCGTCCTGTCAATCTCTTTAGTTTTTATGTCCTCGTTTCACGTGCGCTTAAAAAGCTTTTGGTGTGAGCACAAATGTTCACCAACTAGTTCATGTCGCCGTCTTGTTTTCCGCGTCCCGTAGACACACTGCTTGGGGAGGGAGTAACAATATAATAGTTGGAGTTTGAAATCTGAATGCTGCGATATATTACGATGTACGCCGTATGGAAGGGCTCCGAAAATTTTGACCGTCTGGGGATCTGTAACGTGAACTAGCATTGCACAATACAAGGACCTCTCGCATTTCGCCTCTGTTGAAATGTGAACGACATGACAAATATCACCCCCACCGCGGTGGTCTAGTGGCTAAGGTACTCGGCTGCTGACCCACAGGTCGCGGGATCGAATCCCGGTTGCGGCGGCTGCATTTCCGGTGGAGGTGGAAATGTTGTAGGCCCGTGTGCTCAGATTTGGGTGCACGTTAAAGAACCCCTGGTGGTCGAAATTTCCGGAGCCCTCCACTACGGCGTCTCTCATCATATCGTGGTTTTGTGACGTTATACCCCACAAATCAATCAATCAATGACAAATATCGAACCCACGGCCTACGACTCAGCAGTCAGCAACTGAGCACGCTAGCTGCGACATCACGTTGGTGGGGTTGTTTGACTGAGTGCATAGAAGTAAAGAACTAACGAACTTTATGGCGCTATCTTTATGCTTAAAGAAGCTCCGCCGTGGTGGTCTAGTGGCTAAGGTGCTCGGCTGCTGACCCACAGGTCGCGGGATCGAATCCCGGTTGCGGCGGCTGCATTTCCGGTGGAGGTGGAAATGTTGTAGGCCCGTGTGCTCAGATTTGGGTGCACGTTAAAGAACCCCTGGTGGTCGAAATTTCCGGAGCCCTCCACTACGGTGTCTCTCATCATATCGTGGTTTTGTGACGTTATACCCCACAAATCAATCAATCAATGACAAATATCGAACCCACGGCCTACGACTCAGCAGTCAGTAACTGAGCACGCTAGCTGCGACATCACGTTGGTGGGGTTGTTTGACTGAGTGCATAGAAGTAAAGAACTAACGAACTTTATGGCGCTATCTTTATGCTTAAAGAAGCTCCGCCGTGGTGGTCTAGTGGCTAAGGTGCTCGGCTGCTGACCCGCAATACGGGTGCTACTTTGGAACTACCTTCACTTCTGGTAGGATGCACGTGATTTAACTCCGTAGCTTTGCCTTCAGTCCCGAGAAAAATTGTCGCCTAGTAAAGCACTCTTTTTACCATCGCTACGCACAATCTTACCCAACAAGCCTCGTTATTGGAATAAATATATTGCTTCGAAGTTACTGCTCGTCTTGTATAGCATTTGCCTGATGATATTTATTTATTTATTTATTTATTTATTTATTACTGCAGACTCGAGGTCCAAGCAGGGTGGTAATACACAAATAAATAAAATAATTGCGAAACGAAACAATAAAGGGCGAAGAAGGTTGTTTGGTAGGTTAGTTCATTCATCACATGTATTAGTAAGACAGTTCCATTCACATATGGTTCTTGGAAAGTACGAATACTTCAGTAGGTCTGTGCAAGCAAAATATGGGATCAAGGCCTTTGGGTGGTGGTGTCGGGTGGGCCGGCTACTAAAGGGTGTCAAATACGGGGATGGGTCTAGAGCTGTGTTTTTGTTCAAAAGTTGATCAAGGAATTCTAATGTAGCTTTTTTGTCTCTGCATCTGCAGTAAGGGAATGTTGTTATTAAATCTGATATACCTCCATATATTCTACAGGCTTGACATGCAGCGCCCTACTTCGCATCCGAGGTGTGTGAAGCGAGTAAGGTAAATACGACAACCGGGTAGGACACACGTGATGGACGATGATCGTGATCGCATCCACCACAGAATCAGACCAATGCACCCGCCATCGCGGTGCCAGTTTCTCGGTACAGGCTGCGCGTATGCGTACATTTCCCTGGTAGACAGTCATCGCGTACATTACGCGGCACTGCGGAAGAAGCGCTGCCGATGCGGTGACGAGCCTGACGTCATCACCGTAATCGCTTGTCTGTCACACGTTTCTTTTTTTGCTATAATGCCATCGCCACCAGCGAAGCAAACGTGGCATGCAGACGGCAGAGCAGGTCCGTCCGATAAGGAAAAAAAACGGCACAAGAGTGTGTCTAGTGCACACCACTGATAGAAACTGATAAGTGCCAGACGCGATGGGCGCCGCGGACCTATTACAATGGACTCTGGACCGTACGTATTCAACTACACCTCTTATCGGATAAGCGGTGACCATGGCAACGCCTTGCGGCCAATTCGCTCTTCCCGTTTCCTGCAGGAGTTGGCCGCTGCGGCTTCTGCAGGTGCGGTCGCCGCTGGCAGCCACCACGACCACCGGAGTTACGACGCGATTGCGTTGAAGAGTCTGCTGACGCGCCCTGGTCACCGGTTATACTGCTGCCGTTGTGTGATCCACCGACGGCGTTGCTATGCTTCTGGTGCCGCACCGGTGAGACGAACACGGGCCGCCCAACGAAGGCCCCAGGTTCGGCGGCGTGTTTCTCCCGAGGACTATGCACTATCGCCGTTTCGCTTACAACTATGGTGAGTACAATTGTACACTTTTGCCCCCTCCCCCCCCCCCCACAGAGTTCCCGTAATTATGTTGTCATTTTATCTAGAACTGCAAGAGCGGTTCGAAAGATTGAATCGCCCTTGCCACGGTGATCTAGCAGCTACGGAGCTCGTCTGTTCAAGTTCGCGGGGTCTTATCCTGGCCATCCTGGCCGCACTTCCATGCATGGAGGCATTTGCACCGGAAGGGCGAGCTTAGATTCAGTCGAACGCTTAAAAAAAAATGCTCGGGCGGTCAGGGCTTCTGGAGTTCACCACTACGACGCCCGTCATACCATATCGTGGTTTTTAGGCGTCAAACCCCAGGAATTAAAGTTATGCATTTAAGATTTCCGAGTCGTGATGGGCTGTGTCGACAGGTCCAAAAATTCGGATCACTTTCGATCTTACGAGCCGTTGCACTGCGCTCTTGCAGGTACAAGGATTCGATTCCTGCTGAGGTGGCGTCCGCACGAAAAATGCGAAAATGTTCACGTGATTATAGTTTAAAGATGATCAGTTTTCCTTGTGCAAGATATAAAAAGTAGGGGGTAGCGCAAAAAAAATTTAAAGAACGCATGCACTGTAGAACACACCAGCACACCAATTGCGCTGACGTGTTGTGCATGCCTTTGTTCCCATATCCAGCACTTTTCAGAGTGTACATGTTTCACCAACCATCGATCGAAGTGAATAATTAGTTGCAATTGTTTGATATCGGGCGAGTGTTGACCCCTGCACATGGTATTGCCTAATATAGTCGAGAAGGAACGAGATTCGGTACATGCACAAGCGCTGATAGTAAGCCTTTGTGCGAGTGCTGTCTGCTACGCTGTTTGCATGACCGCTGTTTTCATAGACATTGTCAGCCTTATCTTAGCGATTGTGTGTTAACAAGGCAGATGGCACGCTAAGCATTACATCGCTGACCTTGCTGTTTCTCGCCGATATTTGGAACTGCGGATTCCTGAGGTCAACGCTCGTGCGACAGTGTAAAAAAAATGCAAGGGTGCACAGGGACCTCGTGTGATTTGGAAACTGCTTATTATACTTGGCGACGCCATGATTAGACATCGTATAAGGGGCATTACCCTGGCGAAGTTGAATACATGTTGCAGTTTTATCAGTTTCAATAGTGAGGATATATTTCTGAGGTTTGCGTGACCATCAGCACGTGAAGCGCACACACGGGCACCAACTACTATTACACAGGATGGCCAAAGTTACCGCCGACGGATAGCTGCTTAGATGGCTATGAATTTTGATAGTCGCGTAATGCCAGAAGGCCTTGCGCAGTGCGATGACAATGCACAATAAAGAACACTATAGATGGTGGAAATTTTCGCAGTTTTCCACTGTTTGGGTGTTCTTCATAATCATAGTAGTTATGAGACGTAAACCTCAGTTAATAACGTTAATATTATTACTATTGTTATTGTCAGATACCTACGTCATTTCTACTCAGTTGACCATGGTGCCATTGATTCGATGCCTCCTGGCACGGCCGTACATTCAAGTCGGTGGAGTCGGTTGCACAAAGGCTATATACAGCGCTCGGCTGTTTATCCGAAGGTTGTTGGATTCCAGTCCCGGCAGGCACTTTCAACTGCATGCGACAGGCTAGAAGTTCATGTACTCCCCAATGTATGTTCACGTTACAGAACACCAGATGGTCAAATTTTCCCGCTTGCTTCCGCTATGGTGTGTCTCATAATGACATCGTGGTTTTGGCGCGTCAAACGCCACATAGTTAGAAGTTCACGGCATACACTTCTTTTACGTCCAACGTTCGCTGTAAGGCCTTTCAACAACCTAATGTGTAACGAATTGAGCGAAGTACGCCTGTTTTACGAATGAAAGTTAGCAGGGCATACGTAAGCTTACTTTTAGAGACATTGCCCTAAAACATCACATCCCAGTGTTCGTTTATTGTATGGTTGAGCAAAGGTGCACTTGTAGTCGCTTCTATCATTGGATATGAGATAATCTACGTAGCACAAAGTTACTGTCACCGACCGGAAGCGTCTCAGAGCAAGGCCCCTGGACGTGATGGGCCTATTTCTTATTTGCAATAGAGAGTTGCCCATAAGGCATAATGCTTAGGGTGTATACGTTTATTAGATGTGTTGCAGTATAAGTGGTGCCGTGCATGAAGCGAAGGTGTGCCTTCCGGAATTTCTTGTCGTGTATCCAGCGGCCATAGCTGGTCCTGTCACAGAATCGAAGACTGACTTGGAAGAGTAGTCCTGAGCATTAGTATTGTAGCCCTTGGCATGGTATACATCTGTATACATATGACATGGTATACGTAAGATGGTATACATCTGTTTCCATCCCTGAAACGGGGCAGCGGACGTATAGCACCCAGTGTCAAAAGCGACCGCGATGAGATGACGGGGTCGTCTAAGGGCGTGGCTCTGCGATTTCCCTGCCAGCGCCCTGCCACATGCCTTTGTCTAAATTGGGCGAGATATAACATGAATTCATTCAGTTGGAATTGTTTACTTATCTCCCCTGTCAACTTATCGTTCTTCTTTTTTTTTTGTAGTTTACCTCTTGAGCGATAGGTGTTTCCACGTGCGTTCCTCTTGTGACTTGACCTCGTAGATAAGGTACGTAGCGTAGCAGTCCACGCCTAACGTGTAGACAGTCTAAAGATTGCCGTAAATGACTTATTCAGACTTGCAGGCGAAGTTTTAAAAAGCTTTGTGGTGTATTCAGATTTAGGCCAACAGACGGCAAACTATCACAAGTTATAAAGCAACGTATGATACTCAGAAATGAAACCGTAGCTTTTGTGGGCCGATATATAGCTTTAACAGCTGAAAGAGCATGCATAAAAAACTGAACAATGAAGTAGATAGCAGGCTGGGCTGGTCACACGAATCATTGGGCTCTATTTAATCAAGCATATGTCATACCTAATTTCTCCTTTCACCCTTCCTACATTAAGACAGTCTTCCCTGAGGCTTTGTTCACTGAATCCGGTATGGAACCATCCCAGAAGTCCTTCATTTTTTTTTTTGCTACTTCCTTTGATGCTGACATTGCCGGGTGTTGGAGCTTTAGTGCATGAGCCACAAGTCATTCGCTTTGAGTACTCGTGTCATTAATACTGAACCGGTGTTCCACAGTATGTACGTCGTGCGACTTAAAAACACATCACATTTTTTTTTCGCGTAGAAGCTCACATTCAAAAGTCTTGTTACTGGAAACTTACGCTTACAATAAACGAAATAACAATGACGGGGTGAAGCTCACGCTGCGCAAGCCTTGAAACCACCAAACTGGACAAGCCTGGTGGCTGATCTGTTGCTCAAATATTCTTTTTAAATAGTGTAATAATAATAATAATAATATAGGAATAACAATTCTTGTGTTACGTCCCAAAACAACATGATTCAGAGAGACGCCGTAATGGAGTGTTCCGGAAATTTCGACCTTCTGGTGTTCTTTAAGGTTCACTGACATCGCACAGTACACGGGCCTCTACCGTTTCACCTCCACCAAAATGTGATCGGCGCGGCCGGGATCGCACCCGCGACCTTCTGGTGAACAGCCGAGCCCCGTATACACTGTAGCACCGAGGCGGACTTCGGTAGACATTCCGTGCATTAACTTTGCGATGAGGTTTGTTTGTAGGTTGCCTCTAGGTCGTTGCTATGCGTATATGTCAAGCCGTCAGCGTCTCGGAGAATACGAAGGACACTGGCGCCGTCCTCGAAGACTACAAGCCATCCGCGAAAACCAGACGAACGTGCTTCGCAATTGCAGAACCAACGCCTCCTAGAAAAACTATGCCTGGAACGAGGCTCTCTCTTCAATTGAGAGCTTGCTGCCAGCACAAAATCTTTGAGGCCATGCCTCCTGCCGCGTGTTGTGACCGTCCGCCGCGTGGGACCACTTGCCTCCGTACCGCTCTGTCACGTGACATTACCGTACCGCTCTGTCGCGTGACATTACCGTACCGCTCTGTCACGTGACTTCACAGCTGCTCGGAGGCAACTGTGAGAGCATTGCTGTGTTCGCAGGGGGCGACCGCCACTATATCGCTGGTCTCTGCCGTACCGTTGTAAGGTACTACTGCAGGCTTCGCAGTCTAACGTCGTTGTAAGGTGCTGCTATTGCGTTAGGTAGACGCCCACGCGATATAGTTAAAAACTGAAGGTTCTACACAAAATATTGTTCTTCACCGTCCCCCCCCCCCCCCCACACACACACACATCACGTTTCGCTTTTTCTGTAGAAGAATGTTTATTCACACACCATGAAAGGGTTTGAGTACCGGTCCTCATTGGCGTGGCGACAATGTCGCGTCCGGTAAGCCACCCTTGAGAAGACGCTTCACTATCGGTCCTCTGGTCAGCTGTATTTACTTTACGGCCGCTGGAAACACGTATCGCCAGCTCGGGTTATCTGTAGTAAACATGGGGCAATTTATCGCCTTGCCCAGCTGTCACGCAGCAGCAGTCTTCAGAGGGAACAGATAACCCTTAAAGAGAGCCTATTTCCGGCTGCATGAAGCTGGAAGTCGTTAGCCAATTGCAAGACGAAAAAAAAACGGTCGTGTTTTGCACAACTTACTTCAGATAACAGTGAGTATATGTGTACGAATTTGATGAAAAGTAGTCAGCAAGAGCAAGTCGCCACTAGCAAAAAGGAAGTGCCTTCTTGCGACTTCCTCATTATTGTATTTATGGAGGGTTAAAGCTGCGCTTGCAGTTCCCACTGCTAGGGACTAATGGTTGTGGTGCTAAATAGTGAACTCCAAGGTTGACCGATCGGATTCGGGTGGCTGAATTCAGATAGTGGTCGAATTCGAGGCCAGTGCGCCGTAATTTTTGTGCACGTTCAAGAACACCAGATAGGAAACATTTCCGGAGCCCTACGCTACAAGGTATGCTGTATTCACATCGTGGTTTTCGGACGCTAAAGCCGAACAATTACAATAGCATTCGCTCTTCAAGCTAAAAACTGTCCCTGCGTTCAGTCACGTCAGCTGACACTGGGTCGCTGATGCAAACGCATCCTTATCGCAAGGCGAGTGCCACCACTTGCGAAGATGATCGTTAACAATGCTCGTTTAGCATCACTCTGCGTGCCACGGCTTGCGATAACATGAAACAGCATCGTTACTCAAGCGAAGGAATGCAAGGAGGCTCTTTTGCAATGGCTTTGTGCTGTTACAGGCTGTTGTCGGTCAGCGTGAAGTTTTTATTACGTTTTTTTATACATCAGTGAACGATATTCAAGAGACAACTTAAACGAGTTGCACGGACGCTCAAAAGTTTGTCACTCAAAAGTGACACAATTCTCCTTCCTCTTGCTTTTCTTGGTAGTTCACTTCACTCCCAGAGAGCTCTCTGCAACATAGTTTCCTAATAAGCTTTGCTGTGTGCGCAAAAAATATACTAGAGGGCACTCTGGCGCTATTCTCTATGGAAGCAGCAGTGGACGGCGCTTCAGCCAGCATAGAAATTGTGGGTAGTACATAAGTTTCTTTAGGATTCGTTCTCTCGGCTCCCATTGCCTCCTTGAGGCCTGGAGCCACATTGTCGTAAGACGAAGCTCTGCAGCTTTTCAGCTGTAGTTCATCACCTCATCTTCACCCATTCATATCGGCTTGCGAAGTGGAAGACGGCACATATTTCATTCGAAACGACAGCAACACTTCATAATAAACAAAGCCATGAGTGCGTGAAAAGTCGGCAAGTACGAAGATCAGGTAAATTCATGTATTACACATCATTCCGATGTTGACTCGCCGCTTGAGCTCCCCATAGTGAATATTTCGGTAAACTCATCGCTCTGCACCTTACGTCGTCTTACAGTGCCTCCTGGATTGCCCCACCTTTCACGAAGCGACAACGTCAATATGTAACGTCTGTGTGGACGTCACGTGACATGATGCCACAGTCACGTCATGATGACGCGACAAATTTCGGCAGTTTTTAACGTCACTATATGATAGGATGATGACATCACGAGTCTTCACTTGATGTTTTTCAAGGCGAGACCTGATTTTTTTTCGTATGACGCCTGCTTGACCTGATACTGCAGTTCAGCCGATACAAGCTTCGCCAGAAAATGCGGCTTTCTTATTTGTAATACTCCACCTGAGTAATACAAAACGATCGTTGAGTCATAAGACACACAACCACTTAGAACTCGTTAAGGCTGAGGATATGATAGATTACCATGCTAGCTGTATATTATATTGTGAATAGTATGTAAAAAAACGGAAGGAAGTACATTGATAAGTTGTCAGTGCTTCCCTCGGAAAAAAGAATTGAGATCAAAGAGGGATGTGTGACGATGATAACTGTGAATTTCGAGTCACGAAGTAGCGATGTCTTCATTCAATCTTCGCAGACTCAGCTGACCTGCTGGCGACGCCCGGCGTGCCATGGCAAGCCATCTGCCGCAGCAAGATGTGCGTCAAGACTTTCTTCTTCGCCACGGCAACTTTCTTGCTGGGCATGGTGTTCCTGGTCACCATGCGCATGTCGCTACATGACCAGCGCGTCACCGTCGACGACTACGACCTGCCGCCGTCTCTTGATGGCTGGAAGGTGCAGGCGCTGTGCCAGGGGCCCCCGTTGGACGTGCTCTTCTTTGTGCACACCGCCTCTGAGCACACGTCTCACCGGCAGTTCCTTCGCGACACCCTGGGTGACCCCACGGTCAGCGAGCAGCTCAACTCGGCCATGGTCTTCTTCGTGGGTCAGTCCAAGAACGTCACCGTACGTCGCGCCATCCAGGAAGAGGCCCGCAGCGTCGGGGACGTGGTCGTGTTCCCGTTCGTAGACACGTACCGCAACCTCACCTACAAGTTCGTCTACGGGCTTAAGTGGGCCAATGACAACTGCCGCGAGTCGGTGCGCTTTGTGGTCAAGATCGACGACGACGCGCTCGTCAACGTGTTCCTTCTCGCCGACTACCTCAAGAACGTCACCGGCCCTGCCGCGGAAACCAGTGTCCACTGTCTTGCCTGGATGCGGACGCCCGTGGTGCGCAAGCGAGGTTCTAAGTGGTTCGTCACCCGCCAAGAGTACGCGGCCCGCACGTACCCGACCTACTGTGGTGGTCTGGGCTTCATCCTGCCCGTGCGCACGCTGCCCATGCTGTTCAACGCTTCACGACAGGCGAGCTTCCTCTGGATAGACGACGTCTACTCGACGGGCATCCTGGCAAAAGTGGCCGGCGTGGGTCACGTGCAACTGCGCCAGTACTACGACCTCTTTCCTAACGAGACGGCGCCGACAGTTAGGCGCAAGGCTATGTTCACCCACCTAGGAACAGCCAGTATCATCGAACATCGGTACAGGATGTGGGACGATATAATGCAAATGCACAACGCCACTACGAGGACAGAAGGTTCAGGAGGGTAGTGTCTGGGGAGCTCTTCACACAATGAATTCATGCCTGGCTGTGGGGTCTGAACCGCCCCAAGAGCCAGTTTCTGAGCTGGGCAAATGGGAACCTGAACTCGGCGGAACAGTCTAGTCTGTGTCTTTGCATTGGGGTGCAATGGTTCTGCGTGTATTGACGCTGTACACCATGATCAGTGTCGAAGATGAAAGGTCTCCGAGCTCTGCTTCTCGCAAGGAGCAACGAGAGTTGAATGATATGTTCCCAAAGAAGTGAAGTGCCAGTGAATACGCCTTTGTGATTCTACGAAGCAGCATACAGCGACGTCCATTCTACCTAAGGTCATGCATGGCGCTCGTTTGTCAGCTGTTCGTGTGCCTAATATAAGCATTTTGTCGTACAGGTGTTTGTTCACCGAACTACTCGGAGTTGTTTTTCTGCCACCACACCGTGTGTAGTGCCGTGTCATGCAAAGCTGGCAACAGTCGCGCCAATATACCGTTATGTCCTGTTTGCGAGCAAAATGGCGATGACCACTGGATTATTCGTGCGTCTGCGAGGCGTGGTTCGCGTGGATTGCTCCCTTGCTGTTATTACAAAAAGTACAGCGTGGTGAGACATGGTAACCCATGGTCACAAGACGCGTTAACACATCGTGACTTTGTATTTGTGTGTATGTGTGTGCGGCCCTCCGAAGCGTGGTGACTTTGCTTGTCCCTCTGGTCTCGTCGCGATGCATTCTGGGCACATACAGCCATGCGCAGCGCGTCGCATTCCATGCTGTCTAAGTTTGCAGCACAACGATGCATTGGCTTCGCCTGATGCCAACTGTTTGCAAAGAGCTAGCTGAGCTTTTCAGCGTAAATACTGAATCGTCAGTTCGAGGGCAAGCCCAGCGCCTATATATTATTACGTTTTTACACAAAGTATCGCGAAACATGGGCCAGTTTACACATGCGAAGCGTGTTAAGTTAATATTTCGTGTATGTTGTTCGTTTGTTTCATAAATGTAGAGCAGATATTTATACACTGGCACGTTATGGTATTTTGTTCATTACCGTTTTATGAGAGTCTACTTTGAAGGTTGCTCGAAGAGCCCTAATATGTGCACAGGAAATCTTTTACGTTTTCCTAGGCATTTTGGAAATGTTTCCTTCATCCTTGTCATTGTTGGCTATCTTATCGTTTCAGTAGCCTTGCTAATATGAATTGCGAACGTCAAGCTAACGTGGCTGATCTCGATCGAATAAGCCTAGTCGGCCCAACTGCCTAGTCATGGATGCAGAATGGGTTAAGATATTCACGCAAAGTGCAGCAGTGCATTTCAGATACAGTTAATTACCGATGCAGTCAGTCATTCCTCGTATTAAGGCTCAAGAGCCAAGGTATTTCAGTTTTCTTAAGCTTGTTAACAATGGGCAAACCACATACTGTTCAAAACAATCTTGGTAGTGTACAGTTGTGGCTTTGAAACAGCACCTGAGCCGACGACGTGTGCAGTTCATGTGTGGTGGATGTGACGTATGTTCCGGCACGTGTCACAAGAGATAAGCAAGAGACCTCCTCGGTATGGCCTTCGAGATGTCGAGCTCGCCGCGGGTGCAGCCTGTGATCCCGGAGGTCATTACATCGAGTTGGTCGTACCATTGACCCAAGGACGCTGAACCTCGATCAACTTCCTGGGGTGTGCCACTCACGAAATGCCTTTTTTCTCAGTATCGCCATTGACAGCGTCTTATAGCTTGGTCCTTGTGACGCACATATTATTGCATTTCAGTCGTCAAATTTAGCACTGCACACGCAATATTGCTGCTCTTTTGAACACAGCTTTTTATGTGGTTGGTTGAAGTTGGCCATTGATAATGGCACAGCCCGCGTCCTTTTGTGAAATTTGAAGAGTGCCTCTAAAGAGCCGGATGGTTAAGCTACAGTTAACAGCAGTGTCGAAGCGTCGAATATGTTTGGAGTGATGTAATAAAATATATTTTATTTTTAGCTTTCTTTTTTTTCTCATTAAACAACTGGAATTTGAATTCATAGAAGGACGTTGTGGCATGATTTCACATTGTGCAGAACCTGCCGAAGACATGCATCGTTGAAGAACGAGAATGGTGTCAAAGGTTTGGTGATCTTTTCATATGCGAGTGCTTGACGACAATATTACCACCGCAGTCTCCGGACGGGCAATCGCATGTCTTTGGATAACGCAAGAGCCATTGGAAGTAGCGAGACTCTAAGTACGACGGTGGGAAAGAAGGAGAAAAAGTTGCTAGGGAGGCTGCTCTTAGTGGTTACAAGCCAACCTGGCCGCCGCATTGATCGAGTGCGTTGCTCGGCTGCTGAGCCAGAGATTGCGGTTTCGATGCTTTACGGCGTAGTCCCACTTCGATGTAAGGAGAATACTTAAAGTACCGTGTTCTGTGTGGTATCGGGGCACGTTCAAGAACGTCGAGTAGTCGAAAGTTTCGGAGCCCTTCACTATGATATATCTCCTAATCGTATCGTGGTGTTGAAATGCAATGTACAAACGACTATCAGTGTGGTGCACTGATTGGCTGGTAGAGGAATTGAATAATTACATATTGTATAATACGTCGCATCGTGACGCCAAGCATTGGCATGAGTGCCAGGTCAGAAAAAATGCCATAAACTTGTAAAAACTATCAAAAATATAGCCAATTTCAGCCAAAGGTACCAAAGCAGCCAGAAGTATACGCACGTGTCAGCGGAGACGACCGCGAAGCTTTAAAGTGAATACGTATACAAGCCTTCCGACACAAATGTGAATAAGCAAAAACGTATGCCTTTCACATTAGGAATTTGAGATTCAAGTATTAATTGCTTTCAGTGGCCATTTCGTGAAGGACGGCGAAGTCACTGCTCTATTGCAAAGCTGCGACTCAAAACATTTTCCTTGATATTTCTCAAAAGGACTATGAGTAACAACGATGTGGCGATAGTAAAAGGGAATAGTAACTAAAATTGGTCAAAATTAGTTGCACGGTTTGCAGGAATAAAGTGGAAATTTGAAGGCTCGTTTTCTTTTGTTCGACGTAATGTTATTGGTAATTACTGCAGGCAGTGGTGCCGTAGAATGTATAGGGTATGTTATTTGTAGTAACGATGTGGTCGTGACGTGAGCGAAGACAACAGCAGTATAGGCTTCTCAAAGGTGAAAATTGACTGCTAGAACAGGGGAAAGCTCGGCGTGCCACAGCACCGATGCAAAGTGCAGCCCAAGCAGGATGAATCCACTTTTGACGCTGCGCTGTGTAGTCTGCAATGGGTCTTCATTTTAAGAGTTCGGCGTGGCTCCTCTAATTTTGTAGCATCCCAGCTTCCCATTTAAAGGGCCAGGGTTGAAATCATATCTGTAAATGGTGGATTTTTTCTTCTTAGTGTTACAGCTGCACTGCTTCCCCTTGGTTTCACTCTGCTTTATACCTCTCAAAACCACCATACGATTATGGGAGATGCCGTACTGGAAGGCTCCGGAAATTTTGACCACCTGGAGTTTTTTGATGTGCACCCAAATCTGAGCACACGAGCCTACGGCATTTTCGCCTCCATAGAAAATGCAGCCGCCGCAGCGTGGGATTCGATCCCGTGACCTGCGGATTGGCAGCCGAGTACCTTAGCCACTATAGACCACCGCGGCGGGGCTTGGTTTATTTCTGTAGTCTAGCTTACCTAAATGCGCATTCCTACAAAACGTAACACTATTATTATTATTATTCATGATACCTTACAGGGCCCGATAGGGCATTGAGTAAGGGGAGCAAGTACGAAACAAAAAATATCAGAGATAAATGCATTATTAAATACAGGGAAACAAAATTGAAAAAAAATAAAAAAAGGGTACAGTGTAGTTACACATTTTTACACATGGCAAAAAACAGCAATTAATTGAAAAAAAAAGAAAAAAGGGTACAGTGTAGTTACACATTTTTACACATGGCAAAAAACAGCAATTAACAAAAGAAAAAAAAAGGTGACGACATGATACTATTTCAAGAAATGCTTACGCAATTGGTCAAGAAATGCTTTATGGTTACTGATAGATGCAATATTGTCGGGAAGATCATTCCATAGAACAATGGCTCGGGGAAGTGCTGATGAATTGAAAGTGTTAGCTCGTCCACTGATGCGTTTAATGCTATATTGATTATGCAAGCGGCGTGATATGCGTGAAGGCGCTTCCAGTGGTAAGGGAGATGGCCTGATGCTATAGCGATATTTATGGAATAAAGATAAAAGAGAAATGGAACGTCGTACATTTAATGGCACAAGCGGTATGTCATGTTTGATCTGCGTTATGCTGGAATGTGGGCTGTAGTTGGAAGTAATGAAACGAGCGGCTCTGTTTTGTACAGACTCAAGCTTGTTAGTCAGGTAGATTTGATGAGGAGACCACACTGGTGAAGCATATTCTAATTGCGGACGAACGATGGTTTCATAGGTGAGTTGTCTTAGACTGCTTGGCGAGTTCCACAAGTTCCGGCGCAGGTATCCAAGTGACCTGGATGCCTTGGCAGTAATGGTGTTAATATGCATGTCCCATGAAAGATTGTGCTTGAGATGGACGCCTAAATATTTATACGATGATGCCTGGGCTACTAATGTGCTATCTATGAGGTATGGAAAATCGGAATTGATGCGCTTGCGGCTGAAAGTGATAACCTTGCATTTAGTAGAGTTAAGATTCATCTGCCATTTGTCACACCACTTTGCAATTAATATAAGATCATTTTGAAGTACGAGGTGATCTTCGGTGGATTTAATTGAGCGGTAAATGATGCAGTCGTCAGCGAAAAGACGCAGGTTAGAAGATATGCCTGTGGGTAAATCGTTAATGTATATTAGGAACAGTAAAGGACCAAGGACACTGCCCTGGGGCACACCTGATGTTACGTCACAGAGAGATGAGGTAAAACTGTTAGCTGAAGTAAACTGCTGACGGAAAGAAAGAAAGTTACGAAGCCATGATAATGTTAAAGAATCCAGACAGAGAGCTGATAATTTCGAGAATAAACGCGAGTGTGCCACACAGTCAAATGCTTTAGCAAAATCTAAAAAAATACAATTCGTTTGAAGATTAGCGTCCATGTTAGAGTGCAAGTCAGTTGTGAATTCTAGCAGCTGCGTGTCACATGACAGTCCTTTTCTGAAACCGTGTTGCTGAGGAAAAAAGAAGGAATTATGTTCAAGATGAGCGTAAATATGGGAGGCGATAATGTGTTCAAGTAACTTACAGCAAATGCATGTTAGTGATATGGGTCGGTAGTTATGCGGGGAATTTTTATTACCGCTTTTCAAAATTGGGATGACCTTGGCGATCTTCCAGTCCGTGGGTAATAAGCCTGATGATAATGATTGCTGAAAAATATAGCAAAGAATTTTACTTGATATTAGGACTGTGTTTTTTAATATTTTAGAGTTAATGTTGTCAACTCCAGCACTGGTTGAGATCTTGAGATTTCCTATGAGATTAGCGATACCTTCAGCGGAGACATCAATCGCACTCATGTACTGATAATCATGGTCAGGAACAATGGGTATGTTGGAATGATCTTCCCTCGTAAATACAGAAGCAAAATATCTGTTAAAGACATGCGGGCATTCGCTATCATCAAGTGGCTGCTGTTTATCGTCACACAGTGAAATGTGATTACTAATGCTATTAGGAGACACAACACGCCAAAACTTTTTAGGATTAGATTTCAAGAGAGAGGGAAGATCCTGGGAAAAATATTTCTTTTTTGAAGTTCGAACGGCGCAACAGTAGCTTTTTAAGCATTCGCGATATTTTTTCCAAGCCGATGATGTAGGTGCAAGCTTAGCTTTCCTGTAAAGACGCTTCTTTTTATTACGATGACGATTCAGATGTTTGTTAAACCAGGGATTAGTTTTATCATTGGAAATGGACACCACGGGAACGTATCGGTGCACTAAATTTGTTAGCACGTTCTTAAAAAGCACCCAGTTCTGCTTAACGGTCCTATCAAAAAACGAAGGTAAAAATGTCCGAACGAAAAATTTGTTAAGTGCAATATTCATATCCTTATAATTAGCTCGATTGTAATCGCGGATTTGAGTCATCGTGCTACCTTGAAATGCAAGAGGACGCACTAAATGTGAAGTAAATGAGAACACATTTGACAGTGAGTGCATTTATTTGCGAGTGCACATGCTATTTTCTCTTGTTTATTTTTAATTAGGTCAGCCACAAACACAGCGTCAATTTTTGTCGTTGTTTGATACTTAAGGTATATGTACGCAAAATCATTCGTATAAGAATACTACATCCGTGTCCACAATGTCAACACCTCCAATTGTTTAACAACACCTCATGATCGCTTTGTTAAAGTTACCAACAAAATAGCTTTTCCCTCAGTGTCTGGAGAAACACTGAAGGAACAGACAGAACATTGCCGTTTTTTGTTTTCGTAGTATTCAGATCTTCAGGGTTTCGCACCGACCGAAGGTCGTTTGCTTTCAGTTTTCTTTTGCAGTGAACCAGCTGCTGGCAATTGGGAGCAGCTAATTTATCTGATCGTTCAACCTAACGTTCTGCCTCCCCCTCGTGTGTCCGCCTTCTCTAGGAATACATTCAATTACCTTTAATGACCAGCGGTTATCCTAATTCTCCCTGCGTGCCACGTACGCTGCCTATGTCCATTTCTTCTGCTTGATTTCAACAATGATGCCCTTAACCCAACTGTGTTTCAAGACCCACTCTGCTCACTTTTTGTCTCTTCAAGCTACACCTATAATTTTTTTTCTTTCCATCGCTCGCTGCGTCGTCCTGAATTTAAGCTGAACTCTTTTTGCAAGCCTTCAGGTTTCTGCTCCTAAATAAGTACCAGCAGGATCCAGCCTGTATGTACCTTCCTCCTGAGGGTTAGTGGTAGATTACCTTTTACCACTACGTAATACTACGTACGAGTACGACAGTACGGTCCCAAGGCACGTTAGGCCTGGTCCGTCACTGCTGGAGGCCGTCGTTAAGAATGCGTGAGAGGGCACATGACTTACGT